CCAGATAGAGGAATACATAACTATATCCTTGCATCGGAACCTCTACTAAATTCACAAGTCACAATCAAAGGGTGGGATAAATTGTGCAAGGTGGAAACTAAGGTAGCATCTTTTACATGGTTCATCATAGGGGCTATTTGGTCCGAGCTTTATGGTTTTACCCGAAATTGGACCGTATAACCCAGAACGGGACCGGATAGCAAACAATCCAATCCCATCTTCAGGTTTAGATTTGAGGTAAAAAACCATTTGGGACCAGATCGAAAACCGAATAAGAGAGCCCAACACCCAAAACCTAACCAACTTCTCACCCTTTGAGGCCTCAGGCCACTCAAATCCCCATAAGCTCAATCTAAAATCAAGACCGAATTGGGACCGGACCGGGTCAAGACCGAATTGGGACCGGACCGGGTCAAGACCGGACTGTATCCAATTCAATCTTTGGTCCTTATATTCCCGAAATGATCAGACCAGGATCGGATCAATTCGGGCCAATTTAACCAGGCCGTACAGCGACCCCTAGTTCATCATCAAGTCAAAGAAGAAATGAGGATGACACACAATTAGTTGGGGAGTTTGAAGAGCTTTGAAGTTACGCTTCGCTCAAAGGCGTAAAAGAAATGGAGTTTCATATGAGGCAACTCATATCTGGCATTCAATTTAAAAATTAATCTATTAAAACGCAAGTAATCAAAAACCAAATTACTATTCCTTATGACAAAAAGGAATCATTAAATGCCTCCTAACTCAGTACGGAAAAACGGGACCCTTCTAATTCACTGCATATATATATGTGAGGGTTATTGTTCACCCGAATGTTTTCCACGGTAGCAGACCACACAATTTCCTGTGTGCAATGAAGCATTGAGGGTCGATTCCTTCCTCAAATGTCCAAATGAATTCTTATATAATTTGTTTGTAAATTGAGGAAGGAATATCAAAGGTTTCATTACGTTGCTCTAATAATAAAATCAAGTTATGAAAAATAATTTGTATTATACAAAGTTTTCTTAAAGTAAGTTAGGGTTTACATAACAAAATATGTAAAGTAAGTTAGGTTTTACAAAACAAAATAATCAAATTATAATTTTTTCACAACTTGATTTTATTATTAGACCATACATTACGGAGTACTTACGTAACATCATTCAATAAAAATATTTTCTTTTCATAATTTGCTTTTATTATTAGAAATTTAGAACACACATTACAGAATATTAACGTAACACCGTTCAATAAAAATTACACAAATGGAAAATATATTTAATACATATTAGGAAATTTTAATTATTTTTTATGTATCAATTAAGTAAAACATACGACATAGGTTTTTGTAATGATTAAGACACAACGTAAAACTTATGGAGAGAAAATAATGTCTTATGTCCCAACTAAACAAACATATTATGCAAGCCTTCCTTAATATAAGTTTGAACGAAAATTCATGCATTATGAACTAAACCGTTGACCAATTCATAAGTTTGCATTACATAAAGACTTTGTGGCATCGATTATTTTTTACATAACAGTTTAGTTAATGTGATACTTTTCATAATTAAAATTCCTGTATTATTATCTGCATTTTCACCATCTCATCATTTGCGTAAGCTTCCATAAGGTAAAATCACTTTTACATAATAGTTTAACCAAATATGATAATTGATTTTACGATTCAATCACAAATTTTTTTCCCCCGGTGATTAGCAGTTTCCATTAAGCACAAACTTTCTGCAAATATGCAGAAAGCTTCGAAAAATACAAAGGCGAAACGCCCAAAACATCCTTACAGATTATCAACTCAACATAAAGGAGAAAACCAGAAAAAGACTAGCTAACACAGCTCACTATAAGTCGAAATCCTACTGATCTCCTGCTAAAAATCAGCATTGCCACACCTATACATACTGATCTCCCTGTGCAACATCTCAGCAAGAGCCTCAGGGGAATAAGATTGCTCTCCAAAGCAACGACGACACCTCTCCTTCCAAATGAAACACAAACACCAGCTCCAAACTGAGCAGTCAATTAACCCTGCTCTAACTCCCTGCCCAGACTTGCCAATCATGCTATCCAACATAGCATCCCATGTCCGAGGAAGAGACACTGCTCTCTTAAGAAGTGCTGCAATAAAATCCAAGGTAAAAGAACATTCACAAAATAAATGTTGTCGAGACTCAACAGCAGCATGACACAGAGGGCAAGAATCATCAGTTACCACCCCCCAGTGTCTCAATTTATCACGAGTAGCAATTCTGTCCAATATGATCAGCCAGACAATAAATCGATTACGTGGTAGAATGAATCGTCCCCAAATCACCCTCCACCAAGGCACCTCAGGACTTTTAAGTCTAATGGAATCCCAGATTATTGATACAGAAAATACCTTCATTGTTCTTCCCAACCAAGATACACTCCATCAGCTTCGAGACACATCCTGAACTGGAACCAGGACCTGATTTTGAGCAGCTGCTTCCAGATCCAAGACCCAGAAGTAGTGAGTCTGACCTCCCAAATGCAGTGTCCCCTTAACCTATATCTGGTACACCAATCCACCCAAAAACTTCCTCCCTGAATCAGCAGTAGCCAGATTAGTCTAGCTAAACAAGCAATATTCCAAGTACTTAGGTCCTTTAGGCCAAGACCTCCTTCCTTCTTTGGTAAAGCAATTGATTCCCAGGCAACCTTGGCCCTGCCCACACCATCACCATGCCATAGGAAGTTGGAACAAATCTTCTGAATACTTTTAAGCACTTTCTTGGGGAGTATAAATATTGCCATCCAGTAATGAACTACTGCATATAAAACTGACTCAACTAACTGGATCTTGCCTGCATAAGATAATTTCTGAGCTCTCCACCCTCTGATCCTTCGTGTTAGCTTGTCAACAAGGACAACACACTCGGCACTTGACAATTTACCTGAGATCAAAGGCAATCCCAAGTATCGAACTGACAGCTTACCCTCCCTGAAACCAGAGATTTGCAGAGCAGTGGCCTTAAACTGATGAGCAAAACCACCAAAAAACACTTCACATTTATCTGGATTGCATTGTAAACCCGAGAGCTGATAAAATGTATCCAAGACTTTCCTGATTCCATGCAATGCCTGACCTGACCCCTCTGAGAATATCATGAGGTCATCAGCAAAGCTCAGGTGAGTGAGACCAAGCTGTTTGCATTGTGGGTGATAAGGGAAACCACCATTTGCTGCTACTTTATTTAATAATCCAGACAAAGGTTCCATTGCAATAGTAAAGAGGTAGGGGGAGAGAGGATCCCCCTGCCTGACCCCTTTTACAGTACTAAAGAAACCAAAGAGACTGCCATTGACAGTGATACTAAAGGTGGCTGAACTTAGACAGAGAGAGATCCATTTAATAAAGTCCTTTGGGAATCCCATTAACCTCATCACACTCAGGAGATAGCCCCAATGAACAGAGTCAAAAGCCTTTTAAAGGTCAACTTTTATAGCAGCTCTAGATGAAAGCTGACTTCTGTGATAATTCTGAACTACTTCTTGAGCCATTAATATATTCTCTAAGATGCTACGCCCCTGAATAAAGGCTGACTGATTTCGACTAATAAGAGCAGGGAGAACATTCTTTAACCTATTTGCTAAGACTTTTGCGATTATCTTGTAAAGAACATTTATACAAGCAATAGGTCTAAAGGAAGGTAGAAAGGAAGGTAGTTTATCTGCATTAGGGATTTTTGGAACCAATGTCAACGAGGCAGAGTTCATACCTCTAGGGAGAACCCCCTCCTGAAAGAAAGTTTGGACCCCCTTAATGATATCAGGTCCAATAAGACCCCAACTTCTCTGAAAGAACCCTGTTGTCCAGTCATCTGGTCCTGGGGACTTAGTGGGATTCATGTCAAAAAGGGCTTGCCTAATTTCCTCCCCAGATACCAACCTACAGAGCATTCTTTTATCTGCACCAGTAAGCTTCTCACTCAAACACCCCTCAATAAGGTCGCAGTCTACAATCACTCGGGGTAACGCGGGGGGGGGGGGGGGGGGGGGGGGGTAGAATCTTCTATTAACTGTTTACCTTTATCAACAGCAACCCCTTCTCCTGAATCCTGTACAATTCCCTTCTCAGGAGTATCCTCCACCACTTGTTCCGTCATTTGATTCTCTGTAACAGCTACCTCAGTCTGTCCCAATTCAAGTATATTGGCTTGCTTACGACGCCAGACCCGTTTAGTAGGAACCCCAGCAGGTGGAAGAGAGCAGTCATGCCCAAAAACCCCACAGGCAGCACAACAGCGGGGCAGGCCACAGTACTCAATACCAATGATAAATGCAGGCAAATGATCTTCTCACGATAATGCCACGGCCCCCCTTCAAACACCCACCGACAGGTCGCCTCCGACGGGAATTGAAAGAGGACCAGCTTGTCATCAAGGAGTGAAACCTTAACCTCCCCATCCCGACTCCAAATCCAGTTAGCCCAGAATCTCAGAGCCGAAAGTGAAGGCGGAGCCACCAGGAACTGACCCACAAGGCTATGCTCCCATCTCTTCGTACCCTCCTCAATCACCGATTTGGGAATCCGAAGTGATCCGTTGATAAACTCAGGCTCAAAGAAATCCAACCTAACCTCTTCCGAAACAGGAAACAAGGAAGCCCAAGACCTACCGCCACCAACGGCGCCAGGCGTGGCTCCGTCGGCGACGGCGGCCATCGCGACGAACGAAGAAGGTTTCAGAGAATTTCAAAATAGGAGAGAGAAGAGAGGAATAGTAGTCAAACAGACTATTTAGAAAATCAGTTTCACTATACTTGGTGAGATAATCACAAATTAAGAAAGATGTACGTAACACTATTCTATAATATTTACGTAAATTATATTTATTACGTAAGGTTCATGGAGAGATATTTAACTTTTTATGTATCAAATAAAAAACATATTACGTAAATCTTCTGTAGTAATTAAGATAGTACGTAAAGCATATAAAGATATCTTATTCAAACTATTTTTGAATTATTTGATTTCCACTAAAGCATTAAACGAGTAAAAGAAATTGCAAATAAAATTAATATCTTACCGCGGCAAAGCACAGGCCAAAAAACTAGTATAAAATAAAATTGCTACCAAGAAGTGAACCCATGTAAACAATCCTCGAATTTAATTTAAATCATCACACAGCATACATAAAACAAAAATCAATCAAGGTTAATCCATGGATACAAGAAACAGGCAAAAGAAGAAACGCTATACATGTGAGAAATTTGTGCGGGTTACTGGCAAGAAGATACAAGAATACAGTACACATGCAAGAAATGAGAGAGGCTTGCAGGAAAACCTACCTACTGCCTATTGTATGTCATCTTTGTGATCGACCTTGACCAGAAGCAGTCCCACTAACTCCTGATAACTGTTTCAGGTTGGTGAGAGCTTCCTGCGCATACCTCTTGGCGTTACCATTCCCATGCTTCAATGCCTCCACCAAAGCACCAACCAGAGTTTGATTCAGAGAATGCCTATGGCTGCAACCCTCTGCTCTCAGGAACTTATCAATCATCCTGACCGTCTTCTCCTGCAGCTCCCCGGGTCGAACTTTCATGAACAGCTCGATCACTGCATCGAACACACCGACGTTTTCGAGCTCCATCGTCGCTCTCTTGGGAATGTTCGAAGAATCAGGCAGCAGGGTTGAAAGTGCTTCCACTGCAGCGATCTGAACCCCGGTCTGGTCTTCCCCAAGGAGATTAATCAATGGTTTGATGCAATTGCTACTCAGAAGACATAACTGAACGCCATCATCACATGACGCGTTGTGCACCGGGCAAGTGGAAAGTTCGGGAGGGCCTCTGCTGCACATGAAGAGGATGGGGACACAAAATCCTTGGGGAGGGATCGGTTCCGGGTTCTGGGCAGCTGATAACCTTCCAGCTTCTGATAAGTTTCTCAGTCCAAGAGCAGATAGTTCTTTCAGTCTCGGCTTTGAAGGAAAACTGAGCTCCTCACAGTAAAGACTCATCAGACGAAGCTCTCTCACCAGGGTAACATTTTGATGATGATCGAGACGCTTGGTGAAATGTAGTAGTAGGCCAAGAAGCCCTTCCGTTATGCTTGATGATGTTGTCCTTGATGCTTTGCCATTGGCGCTGCGATTTCGATTTTTCAGAGTGGAGACTATCCATCTTACAAAACTAGCATCAAGCAGTGTTTTCACTTCATCGCCCACGAGGGGAAGGTTGGCCAGTATGCACGCGGCATCAGATCTCTCAGTATCTGTAGATTGGTCATCGAATAGTTTGTCTTTCAACATTAAATTCTTGTTACAAGTTTGTAGCTCATAGTATAAGTCTTGAGCAAACCTTTCGGACAGCAATCTTGTAAGCCTATAAGCATTGATTCGATGTCCAACTTCCGGGTGCTCAAGATAACATAAAACTGTTTTGATGCCATCAGCACTCTTTATTCTATTTGCAACTGATTCTGCAAAATCAGCAATTTCTCATTTCAACTGATGCCATGAGTAAATGTCTCATGCACAAAGAGTTTGTAACCAAGTATTGGATGAGATGAGAGATTAAAGGTTAACGAAAAGGAGTTTCATGCTGATGAGTGCAGAATAATTACCTGCAGCCCTGGGAGATGATGCTATTCCATAGAGGATTTGGAGTATAGAAGCTTGAGCTTGAGGTGAGACAACAGATAGAAGCTGTAAGAGACTCGAGACTATTGAAGCAGACTGCATTGTGTGACCTCGTTGGTCCACAGCTGCCAACTCCCAGTGCCCTGGATTTGACACTATGTTTGCAATTGTTGATGCAGCCAAGTCTGTGAGTTCCAATGCAACCACCTCATTCTTCAAAAGGATATCGGTGAGCACGGGAAGTGCACCAGCATCAACAAGGATCGTTGCATTGTCATCTAAAGTTGACAGGTTACACAAGGCTTTCAAGCTTGGCCCTCGAGCTTCAGGGTTAGTGAGCAACCCAACAAGTATCTTAGCACTTCTCCTGGCAAGTTCTTCTTTACTGCTATTGGTTAAAGTCATCCTTCCCAGAATAGATGCCATCTCTGTTTTAACGTCATCTGAACCTGTTCAAGTAAGAGATTACAATCTCAAGTAAGTTGGTAAATTTGTGCCATCATAGGTTCACCTGCATCTAGCTTACTGGTACTGCATTCTAATCCATTCGACAGTTCACAAAAAGAATATACAGTAGCTATACTGCTGCTCCAATTTTCTGAGAAATACTTACATGGAATCACACAAAGAGGGCGTCATAAGCATACCTTCACATAAACGAGCAAGTAGGGGCTCGAATCTTCCTGCAGCTGCCAATGGCTGAATGTTCTCTTCCATCTTTTCCAGCCGCTTCAAAAGCTCATCTGCAAGATTTGACAAGGCAGGATGCTCCAGATTGCCTGCCATACTGGAAAGAAGAACTAGTGCCCCTTTCTCTGACGTGATTTTGGTGCAATAATCTTCGTCATTTGTGAACTCCAGCAGTAACTTCACAGCATATTCTCGCTCTTTCTCTGAGCTACCAACAAGGCTATGTATAGCCAGTCTACTCACACCTTCTTCTAGCATTATGTTCTACAAAATTCAAACACACTCCAATCAGACAAAGAGCATTCCCATATAGCTCTCAATACAGCTATGGTGGCATGTTATGACGACTATAATTCACAAACAATACTGCGTCAAACCGGCACAGCTGCGTCAGTAAGCTAATGGCTAGAAAAAGTGGAACATCACAATGGCAAAACTGAGCTAAACAAACTAACCTTGCTTTCTTCGTCCTTAGCCATACTAAACAAAGCCATAAGAGCTTTGCTCCTCAGACGAGAGCCCATATCCTTAGACGAATTCCTAAGCAACTTAACCATAAACACAATCAAACCAGCATTCCTTACTTTATACCGATGGGAAGAATGCTCTTCAGATATCCAGTAAACATTGTCCAATGCACGTTCAATGGACTCCGCCACAACAGGCTCTCTACCAATATTCTCCACCGCGGATTTAACCCGAACCTCAACGTTCCTGCTAATCCACTCGTCGATTGCTCCGGCCAACCCAAGATTCGGCTTCAGTTCCAAGGTCTTCAAAACCACTCCGGTGATCGGACAAGTCGGGTCCCGTCCATCCTCCACGCATCTGGTAAACCAGTACTGTATGGCTTTCTTCTCATAGTTCTGGGAAGACTCTAACAACAGTACAGGCTCCTTCATGACTTCTTTGGTCAGGGGGCAGAGAAAATTCCTGAAAGGTGACAAGTTAGCTTCCTCCTCCGAATCCAAGTCCAATTTCAGTGCGTCCAATTCAGAGTCAGTCGACCAGCTCTCGAGAATTTTCTCCAGAGAGATCAGAATTCGCCGCTCCGAGACCGAATTGGACCGCACCACGTCGGCTTTGAATAGCTTCACTTGCTCCGATAGCTCTTGATGGTTGCTCGAATCAATCCCTAGCGCTCGCGCTAAATCCATGACAATCGCGCTCTGCACCGGCTTGGTCGTCGGCCTTCCCTGCCCTTCCTTCTCCAATGTTCGACGGACTCTCTCTTCGTTTTCCGTCACCTGAACTCAGACCGCCATTTTCGATGAGCAACTAGTTGACAGAGAAGAGAGGTTGACATCGATTGTTTAAACTTACTCTGAATTTCGCGTGCTTCATGTCACGGGCCAGATCGGCGGTCTTCTTGCGAAGATCGGCGACGATGTCGTCGTCGTCGAGCAGCGTTGACTCAATCAGCTCCAGCCAGGTTCCAATCGCAACCGTCCGCTCCAGAAGAGAGGAGCACAGGGACTGGCAGTTGACCAAGACGGCGATCTTGCTCCTCTTCCTGTAGGCGGAAATCGTCTCCGCGGCAACGGAGAGATCTCCGGAGATGCCTCTCAGCCCGGTCTCCGCGGAGGGTGAGAGCGACGGGGAGGAGCGGAGGAGCTGTTTGACGATGAGCTGGAGGCGGTGCGCGTATCCGGTGAACTGGCGGGAGTTCTCGAAGGACTCCTGGTCGGGGCCGGCGGAGCAGAGGTCGGATAAGGAGCGGTGGATTGAGTCCACGGCCGCGGGAAGTGGCGGCGCCGAAAACATTTCAGGCGGGAGGAGGAGGTGTTAAGGTGCGGCGGACTTTGGAAATGGAATGTCTAGACGTCGCATTTCGGAATCATTGTCGGCAGGTGGAGGAGGGAGAGCCTCTTCTTCTTCTTCGTGCCCGCGTGCCTGCTGAAGCTGAAGTAGAGAAGAGTCAAAATCTTGACTTTTAACGGGTCCTCTCCCTTAGCGGGGAAGGTGAGGAGACCATGAAAAGATCTCGGGTAACCGGAGCCAAGATGGCTTGGATCCGTTTGTAAATTGTAACTCTGTGAATTATTAATTTGGAAGCGAACCCGATGGATGACCCGATTACGGAACTTCGAGAAACCCAAACTCACAGCCAAGTGGGTCGTTATACTAAAAAAAAAAATATTATTTATGAAAATGGTGGCACCATTTTTTTTCTCTTAATCATTAAGCAAATTTGGGAGAGATCAATGTTGTTAATTCGGTTTAGTTTGTTAGCCCGGTCAAACAAGTGAATTAAGGATTTAATGATCCGATCGTTTTATTCTGGTAAAATCTGATTTAAGCTAGATATATAGAAAAGGTTATCATATTGTTGATACATATATAAATTATATCAAATTTTGTCTGATATATGAGCAACAACATATAACAATACACCAAAATAATAGTTCGTACTTGAACCCAACATATAGGAAAAATTTAACCACACTTAAATCCACTCCAACGCATCCAAACCCGATTTCAACATAGAAAGCATAGATTCGAGTCGCCTACTTGCTGAAAGCAAAAATGGAATGGAATTCTATGAGTTCGTGATTGTCACCTTTAATAAAGTACAATAGTCCGAGGAGTATAAATAGAAGTCGTGATTAGAAGAGTTGTAACCATCGTTTGTGATTTTACTCCAAAGGATTGACCTCCCAAGATTAAGACATCCGTGTATAGAACAATCGAACAATGAAATCTGAATTACAATATGGAACAAAAAAAAAAGGTTTCGCCCAAACTGAAGAAACGGTAGAAAGGAAGGTTCCTTATCCCATTCTTGATCAGTGGAGGAAACTAATGGGTGAATTTCATATAAAGTGGTAGCGCGGTGTGAGGTTTTTGTCTGTAACACCAAGCAAAGTGGCCTTATGGAATGAAAGTTCGTTGAATAGTTTTGTCTGATTTTGATCGAGTTGAAGCCAATTTTGTCGAGTTTTGATAAATCCGGGTGAAATCCTAAACGGATGTGTGGCGGGATTCAGGTCCGAGATAACCCCCGACTTAACGACCTTGGGAGAGGGCCTCCCACGTCGAGATGACAATGGACCGATAAAATATTCAATAAAGCATATACATAAAAAAAATCGATAAAATTCATTGGGTTTTAAAAAGAAAAACTCAACTCAATCTAATTGGTACTATAATGGCCCGTTCACTTGTCATTCCGTTTCTTATAGATTTCTCAACAGAAATCAAAATAAAATGAAAACGAAGCTGTCATTTTCTGATAATCAAAATCTGCAGAAAACTTGTTTAGTTGAGAATTTTGGTGAGTTCTGAAACTGAATTCTGAAAATGAAAACCTGTTTAGTTACTTCATACTTTTTTTTGTACTTGATTACTATAATTTTTTCATGGAGTGTCATACAACTCTAATCATGATTATAATTTTTAATACGAATCATATGGTTTTCAAACTACTAATAAACACAATACAAGTACAACATCTTAATCAAATAAATAATATTAAAACATCAAATATCAAATAAGTCCCGCTTGAAAGTCATCCCATAACTTGTTTGCTATTCCATGACGAACATAACCCACACATTATTTCACAAAAACTCATATCATAACATTATCAAAACAAAATTCCATAAATATATTACCATAAAGACTATAACATCCATAAATTATCCATATTGTTAAGATTAGACACAAAATGATGTCGTTTTACTTTCGGGGGTGCGAGTATGGTGTCAAAATTCAACCCGTCAATTTTAAAAAGCAGGTAAAACCTTCACGTGAGCCAAAACCAGTCAAAACTGAGTCTTACCCCCTTTGACCATATTGGGTCTGGTGTCCATAGATCCAAGTTCAATGGTCAACCCTAGTCCCACACAATCATACAAAAATAAATGTTGGATATCTGAATCTAACAAGAAATAGTAACCTTCCAGTCACGGACTACCAAAGTACGTAAGGAATGAATCAAGTTCGCATATTGGTTATCCACCGACCCTGTAATCGAAAGAGGGTCACTATAGTAGCAAAGTCTGTCTGAAGGGTGACGAGATAATAACCACCATCCCAAGAGAACTCCAATCCATAGTGCAACCCAAACTTATGTGTGAGTGATCGTGCATTTTTCCACGTAAATTGTGTAGGCTCACTAATAAGCAATCTTGCTAGGCTCTAAGCACACCTTCTGGAGCGATAGACCCCAATAGTCTTAACAAAGATCTATCAGAGTTTACTGTGGTTCACTTTCTCTGAGCCAATTTTCATGACACCATGACCAAGCTTCGACGAGGCTTCGACGATGATTTTCAGCACTAGTTTATTAGGAGCTTTCATAGTGTCCGAGAAAAAATAGATCGCCCTGGAAATGCCAAAGGAATTAGCATGCAGGCCTAATGAATGGAACCCGCAATGTCTTCCCTCGACATTGGTGAGTAGACGGTTATGTGAAGTTATCTATAGGAAGGTCACAACTTCTACGGTGCTCTTATCTCGTCAAACTCTTCACAGTAAAAAGATAAATATATAAAAGCCTAATATTAATTATTAATATTTAATTTAATATATAAAAGCCTAACATTGGAGTTACTATTCATTAGGTGAATATCTATTTAAAGCTGCAAACTTTTTAAAATTTTCGCCCTAAATTAACCACACATATGATTCTACCCTGCTTGCCCTAATCCCTAAAATGGCAGTCGTCTCCCTAAGAAATCTCCATTCCCCGTCACCGCCGTTCGCCCTAGGATTCTTCCCCCGTCCCCAGAATCTCCATTCCCCATCGTCGCCGTTCGCCCTAGGATTCTTCCCCAGTCGCCGAAATCTCCATTTCACCATCATTGCCGTTCACCATAGGATTCTTCCCATGTCGGCGTTGTCGAGCTAAGGAGGAAGGATAACGTTGGCATTGCTGCCCTGCCACCGAGTCAAGTAGGAAGGAGAATCCAAATCGTTGTTCCCCATGTCCCTCTGGAGACGCTCCACTATCTACCTTGGCTGCACCACCTCCTTTGCTACCGCCCGATTCTGTTAGATCCTTCGGGGCGAGATTACAGTTAGCGCGGCGACCGTTGATAACGGGAGTAGCGTCCTCAGAGGGCTTCTTTGTAGCTTCGGCTCCTTGAAAATCACTTGTGGTCTTGATTTTAATTAATTAGATGAATAATTAATTCATTAGTGGAATTGGAATAGAAGGGAAGGGGATTGGGGATTGCCGGTGAGCTTATCGGAGACGATGACGACCTCCAGGATCAGCCCAACGAGCAGGGTAGATGGTAATTGGCCATGGAAAATCTCTTTGAACGGCCAAGTAAGAAGAGTATGCATGTATTTGCACTAGAGATAAATTCTTAGGGAGAATAATGCCTCTCTTTCTTAGTGGCTCCCAAACTTCTCCAAGTGCAAGTGGGGAAGTCTAAAGTCCTTCTTTTATCCCACTCTCTTATTCTATAACCTATGTGTTCATCTATTGTCCGTCGGTTCTACATCTATTTCCCATTAGGTTTCCCATATTAGTTATTACTTATTAGGTTTCCCATAATAGTCTACTAGTTTTCATCTATTGTCTACTAAGTTTTCATCTATTGTTCATTGCTTTCCCTGTTGCAACAATTATTCATTACGTTTTCGTCTATGATCTTTTGGCCAAATCATCGTCTTGGCCCACCAATTCGTAACCATCTCGAAACATTATTGACAAAATCATAAGTTGTCCTCTTCCACCGTTTGCCACGACTGCTAATGAGGATCCATACCATATCTATTATGCACAATCCTCGCATTCTCCCAATAATGCACAACCCTTCTCCAAACATTCTCGGTGAAATCCTAAGTTGTACCCATCCACCGTGTCCCAAGATCGCTATCGAAAATCTTTGTGTTCCCGAAGTTTGTATCATGACCGAGTCTCATATTCTTTAGTGTTTTCTTATCCCTCCTTTTCAATTTCTTTAAGCATGACAATTGAACTCAAACTCATGGATATCCAACATAATTCGACTAGGTCAAAGCGACTTTGAACCTGATTTAGTATTTTTAAATTTCTAATTTTTCCTTTCGTTGAGAATGACAATTGAACTCAGACTCATGGTATTGACGAGTTTTGTATCAAAAGCGAGTTTTATCTGCTTTTGGGTCGAGTGTGAATTTGTTAAAAACTCAATTCGACCCAGTCCAAGCGAGCTGAATACGGTGTTGACAAGTTTTTGATTGAAAGAGAGTTTTGTCCGCTTTAATATTTTTTATTTCTCCTTTTCCTTTTGGTTGAGAATAACAATTGAACCCGAACCCAATGCTGACGAGTTTTGTATAGAGAGAGAGTTTTATCTTATTTTAGAATTGACATGTTTAGCTGATGTGTAGAGTTTTTGGTAGGGAGTGAGTTTATCCGCTTTAGTGCTTTTTTATTTATCCTTTTACCTTTGGTTGAGAACAAAAACCTATGGGTATCCAACCTAATACAACCTGATCAAAACAAATTGAACCCGGTTGTTACAAGTTTTCGGGCGGGAGTGAGTTTTATTCGCTTTTGTAATTGGCGGGTCGGGTCGGTTGTGAATTTGTTACGAACTCTGTTCAACTTGTTCAAAGAGAGTTGAACATAATGTTCCCGAATTTTGGGTCGTGAGCGAGTTTTATTTGCTCTAGGTGTTTGTTAATTTCTCTTTTCCCTTTTCGTTGAGAATGAAATTGAACCAAGACCCATGGGTTCAACCTAATTCGACCCGCCAAAGTGAGTTGAACCTGCTCAAACTTGCGATTAGTCTCAAAAATCCATAAAAAGGAGAATCAAGATGGACTTTAAAAAAACAAAGCAAAAAAATACAAACTAGAGAGAATATTAAACATAGGGGTCTTTTGTTTTTTGTGAATGTTTGGTTGAGATAGTTACAATAAATGCATTCTCCACAATGCATTGTTTTTTTGAATTTTCTTCATAAACAATACATGCATTGTTTTGTTGATGTGATTGAAACTATCACTCATTCTCTACTAAAACTTGAGATTGTTGAGATAGTTTTTGGGAGATTGTTGGATTTCTTTTTTGTTCCAATTATACCACTAGTTATATATATGCGTTCTAATAAAAAAGCAAGGGCAAAAATGATCTTTCTCATAAAAAGTTTATTGAATACTAAAAGAATTATCTCCAAAACCAAACAATGCAAAGTACATAACATCATTTTGCTCAATCACCCTTCTCCTTTATTAAAGGTAATCTCATTTTGCTCAATCACCCTTCTCCTTTATTAAAGGTAATCTCTGGGTCGACTACATGGAATTGTAGATGACAAGCTCTTTAATTTTGGGTCAAAATTCAAACTATCAATTTTTAAAATATCATGTTCTCTCTTGTTCTCGCTCACAAGAGAGCTTATACTAGTATTAACAGAAAGCAGAATAAGTAGAGTGGATTGCTCTGGCTCTTCGCTGGAAACAGAGATGCAGGACTGGATATACCTCATTAACCCAACATCCTTCTTGCAACTCTAATCCCTCTCATTTGACTAACTTGTACGTTTCCATGAAAATACTACAGCATCGATGCAGCTGCGTCGAGCGCGATCCAACAATGCATTACATCCAATATAAAAAAAATCCTAATGCAGAAGTGAAAAAAAGCCCAAGGCGTGCAATTTTATAATGCATTGTCGTCTGCACTGAAGTGAAGCTGTATGGAACAGGGTAACTAAAGCTAAAGTACAAGCTCGAGCACGGAAAATGTACAGCACATTTATGTGTCGTATAGGAATGACGTTTTAACAGTGTACATCCCTTGTTTGTTTGAGAAACATCAAATAAAACTGTACCTAGACATCTTTGTTGTCGGCTCCAATAATCACCAACCACAGAATAAGCTTTTAGATATGAAGCAGAGGAACAGTAGGCATAATTGCTCGTCGTGGAATTAGCTATTACGCCGTGCCTGCAATTCAACTGTCTCCAGGTGGAAAACAAGTTGCCATAAACATGCAAATCAAAGGCAATGTAACTATGTAAGTGTATGTTATCACCACCAAATCCAAGATAGTCTGTCTAACAACTCTTACCTGAATCCTCCCTCTGCCTCTCATATTCTGCTGATATCGCGACCAAACACCATGGTAGTAAGCCAGTTAACAGCAACGTAAAACCGGTTCCTCCAGCTTATCACCCGCGTAAGATATGCTGACCGCCATATGAACCAGCTCAAGAAACCAGCCAGGGATATCCCTTTACCTTCCTGTGTTCGAAAGCAAACGGAAAATGAGTGCCCCTATCAGGTGACATGGGTTTGTGCTGTGTGTTAAAAGCTCTACAAGTGAAGAAAAGAAAAGAGAGAGCAGAAGGGTCCTGACTTTGCTCTGTCTAAGATCCACAAGAGCCTTGTACCGCCCAAGTGTAGCCATGCTTCCCAGATGCTTGTACACAAATGGATCCCCAAGGTCTACTTCCGCTCCACTGTTTGCACGCCCTCCTCCTGCTTTGCCAATTCTATTCAGTAGGCCCGCAAGATATTTTCCTTGCCGCTCTGCAACCTGCTCTATCCAAAAAAATCACCAGCTGAGAATGTGGCAGCCAACACTGAAGAGCCAGTGGAAATAAACGCGGTATTAGATGCTATGGTTTGTTTAGCGCTCACCTGGGCTAAAGCGGGCAGGACTGGTTTACCAGTGCTTTCGACAAACCCACTGCAGTCACCAATTGCATACACATCCGGCACATTGGGTACCCGCAGCCACTCATCAATCCCGATTCTATAAGCAAAGAGGAGGTAGTCGAACCATTTATCAAGAGCTTACGTACTTCAAAACCGGATGCAGTTTCCATTATCCATTATACTAAAGTTCAAAACTTTAGATTACTTAAAGACACTATCTGAAGAAGCAACTAGAAACTTGAGATAGCCAGAGAACCAGTGCGTAAGTGACGGAGAATAATAAAGAGCACAAAACTTACCTTCCACCAGGAGCTTTAGGCAGGTCAAGAGATTTGACAAGCGATGAAGGGCCAACGCCTGTAGACCAAACCAGTAAACCGTATGGAACCTCCGTCCCATTATCAAGAACTATCTTGTCAGGTTCAACATCCTTGACTATCCCACGAACAAGATGAACCCCTGACTGAGAATCAATAGGAATGACAAAAGAAACAATTGATTTATCCAACACCAACCAAACACCAATTATCTCAACCATTAAAGGGATATAACAACTTGTATTTTCATATTCAAGCAAGCCTGACCTCACCTTAGTCAACTGTCTGGTAGCATACCGCCGCAGACGATCATCAAAGGAAGACAAAATCTCATTCGCCTGATGACAACAGAAAACACACTTCAATATTCCTCCACCAATCTATTCTAGCATGAGATTCCAAAACTAAAAGGTCGTTTCTTTTTGTCCTAGAAGTTACATCCCCACTTTCCTTTTCTATTCCTCTATCGGAAAGATAATCTAATAGCCATTTCATTGAAATAGCAACTCGTAAAGCAAAAGGGGACCTCAATCAAAGTAACACGAATGTAATCCTTGACGTGGGCGTGCCTTTGGCGAACATCCCTCATGATGAAATCACTAAGCTCTCCACTGAATTCAACTCCCGTCGGGCCGCCCCCAACAACAACACAGTGCAGCAACCTGCTCTTCTCTTGCTCTGTAGTGCCTGTAGAACAATCCGAGCCAACAAGTTTCAACCACCACCAACACCAACACCACCACCATCCAGCAGAAATTACACTTCAAGGTTTCAATTTCCTACCTGGAACATCAGACAGCATCAAGTTCAGGAGCAGCCTCCTCCTTATCTCCTGGGCATGATGAACTTCTCTGAGGAAAATCGCATGTTCTTTCACACCATGGATGCCAAACGTCAAGGCCTCAGCTCCCAAGGCAATTACCAATTTGTCATACGAAATGTTGAACTTCCACGGGTCCGGCGTGTTGGGTCCATCAGTCACAGTTTCACAAATCACCTTTCAATGCAAAAACCCGAACTCCTCTCAGCATCCAACTTCAAATTGAGCAAAACAGTATGAAAAAAAGAAATAGCAGGCGTACCCGGTGGTTCTTAGCGTCGATCCCCTTGCAATTGGAGAGAAAGAAATAGGATCCGGGTTCCCTCGAAATTGCGGGTTGGATCCGACCCACGGGCTCGGCCACCGACCTGAACTCCAGGGTCCCGACGCAAGTGGAGGCCAGGAGAGGCGTGAAAACCATGTGATTCCTCGGCGAGACGCACACGACGTCGTAGATGCTGGTATCGATTCCCTTCATCAGCCGGCAGCCGGCCCATCCGGATCCGAGCACCACCACCCTCGGCTTCTCGCCGCCTCCGGTGGGCCCCAGGTCTCCGCAGTGGGTCGGAGACTGCGACAGATGCGGCGGAGGACGATCCTCGACGGCAGGGGAGGCGGCGGTGCCTGTGCTGAAGTTTCGAAGCGAGGTCAGCAGCAGAGACGCGGAGGCTACTGGGGCGGTGGGTACGGTTCTGAGTGGCGAAGGTAGAAGCGGAGGCGGCCAAGATTTGGCTGTGGCGGACATTCGGGTCAGGGTCCGAAACCAGGCCATGATTGATCTGGAAAAAAGGTGTCAAGTTAGGGAATCGGGATTCTGGGATTTTGGACGTAGACGATGAATGGAGAAATTTTCATTAGCCAAGAGTCCAACGGCGGGTGGAACAGCAACATTGAAGGGACTGAGCTGGATTTGGACGATCGGGGAGGTGAGTCAGCAGCCAGGCAGGACTATTTGATTTCGGTGCGAAAAGGAAACGTGGAAGATTCTTGGGAGGTCTGGCTCCACATTGGGACCCACTCTATCCGGCCGCCGAACTGGCTCTGTAGTGTTTCATAATTAGGGGAAAAAATCCAAAAGTACCACTATTTTAAAAAACAATTCCAAAAATACTACCCAACCCCAAAACATTTCAAAAATACCACCCTTTTTCAAAAATCGTCACCCCAACCAGCGGTTTGGTCGAAAACCGCTTATCGGCGGCGCGGTTTTTATGCAAACCGCGGGCCTAGGGGGCGGTTATAAAAAAAAAAAAAATTGGACCAAACCGCTGGGTGGGGTGGCGGTTTTGGGCCAAACCGCCACCCCAACCAGCGGTTTGGTCTATTTTTTTTTTTTTCCGATCAACTCCTAACTTTGGCCGAAACTTCAAACGAACGTAACTTTACACTCGGGTATCCGATCGTAGCGATATTTTTTTTCATTTCGCATAACTTTTCAAGATCTACAACTTTTACTAGGATGAAATTTTCAAAAAAGGAAATATTTGTGGATATATCGGACCTTGAGAATAACTTTACCTTTACTTTTCAGAAATCCATGTACATTTTGAAATTATTATATTAAAAAATATAGATCTTGAAAAGTTATGCGGAATCAAAAAAAAATTCATAACATTCGAAGTTTTGAGCACAAAGTTATGGCCGCCCAAAGTTTGACGAAAGGCGAGACCCGGAGGTTTGCGGCTTGCAATATCTCAAAAAGTTTGCGGCCTCCATTTTTTGAATCCGAATAAATTTTTGAGATCTTGCAAGTCTCAAACAGCGGGGTCCCGCCTTCGTCTCGAGAAAATGTCATTTGCCACCCCGAACGAGCCTTTTTTTTATTTCGTCAAACTTTGGGCGGCCATAACTTTGTGCTCCAAAATCCGAATGTCATGAATTTTTTTTTATTCCGCATAACTTTTCAAGATCTACAACTTTTAATATAGTCATGATTTCAAAATGTACATGGATTTCTGAAAAATAAAGGTAAAGTTATTCCCAAGGTCCCGTATATCCACAAATAGTTCCTTTTTTGAAAATTTCATCCTAGTAAAAATTGTAGATCTTGAAAAGTTATGCGAAATGAAAAAAACAATCGCTACGATCGGATATCCGAGTGCAAAGTTACGTTCGTTTGAAGTTTTGTCCGAAGTTAGGAGTTGATCGAAAAAAAAAAATTGGACCAAACCGCTGGGTGGGGTGGCGGTTTTTGAAAAAGGGTGGTATTTTTGGAATTTTTTTGGGGTTGGGTGGTAATTTTGGAATTTTTTTTTAAACAGTGGTACTTTTGGATTTTTTCCATAATTAGGGAAGCGGATCATATCAGTAACTCATATGGTGAGTAACTATCAGGTCCATCTAGGAATGGCAATGGGGCAGGTCCGGGCCGGGTTTCTTGGTACTCAGATCCACCCCGTGGCAGGTCGGGTCCAGGTCGGGTAATTTATCACGGGTCACGGGTCGGGGCAGGTCGACCCAATGGGTATGCAATTTATATGAAAAATATTAGAAATATTCATTATTTTTATTATAAGACCAAGGAAACAAACAATATTATGATAAATATTAGTATAATTATTGAAGAAATTGAGGTTCTCATTAATTTACATCTTTATTATAACTAATATTCTATGTAATAAAAGGGAAATCCTAAGTAATTTGACTAAAATTACGTGTAATTTAGGCAAGAACGGGTCGAGAATGGGGCGGGTCAGGGCAGGTCGGGTCGATGAGAGTACCCATGCACGCCCCGCCCCGCCTACGGGGCGGGTCGGACCCGCCCCAAAACAGGTCAAACAGGTCGGGTAAAACGGGTCAGGTCAAAATTTCCATCCCTAGGTCCATCACTAATCTGCTCACATTCGCATGACATCGACATCATCTCTCTCCTGTAAAGTCTTTTATCTTTTCCCCTTTAATCTTTAACGAACGATTTCTTTCTCGTTTTAAATCGAAATTTAAAATTTTTTCACAGATAAATAAGATTAAATGTGCTCTTTAAAATGATATCCACTTTGATATATTTTTAGTACAAAAAATTGAATAATTTTTTACTAGTCATTACCATATAGTATGCTCATATTTAATACCATATGGTAAGAAAGCGTATCATGATGGTATGAACATACCAATATGGTAATAAGGTTGAATACATGATAGTAGGAGTATACTAACTGTCATTTACGACTTTCATCATTATTTATCACAAGTTACCACACACATACTATAATGGTAAAGTGGGTAAAATACCTCTGGTACCACTTAAGTTTGAGAATTGGGACAGACATACCACTTAAGTTTGAATAGGGCGCCGGGTACCATTAAAGTCGTCAAAATATGCATCCATCGAGTTTTCCATCCAACCCAAAATTTTAATTACTTTTTGGTACCCAAAACTTTTAAAAACATCCAAAACTATATATCAACAAGTTTTTATCTAATATAGAAATTAAAAAATCTTCTAAACATAATATTACTAAAATGACTAATCAAAATTGACAATAAAATAGATAAATTAGTAAAAACAACAAATACCAAGAAGAAGAATAAATATATAGAATATAATAATAAATATTTAAAATCAATATTAGAATATCTATTTAAATCGCTAATCCAATTAGAAGTAGTATTAAAAATAGTTAAAACAGAACCTAATCGATCAAGACCAAAGAAGGATAAATGGAACACAGTCAGAAAGAATTAAACATATTCCAGTAATTGAAAAAAAAAATGAACGAAAATAGAACGGTAGTAACCAAGTAATAAATAAATAAAATCTAAATAATTCCGTAACAAATCTAGAAAATAAAATAGAAAATTACAAGGATATTTAACATAGAAAATTATACAGCATCCTCATGATGTACAAGAATTAAATATAACATCCTCATATTATTTATATCGATATATAATTCATAGGATATATTTGCTTCAGAAAATTATTCGATTATTATAACATATAATTGTAATTAAAAATACTTATAATGATAATTGATTTTATATTTCCTATTCAAAAATTTGTTTGGTATCAAAGTCTTCAAAAGGGGATTTCAACTAAATAGAATTCATAGGATATATTTGCTTTAGAGAATAATTCAATTATTATAAAACATAATGATAATTGAAAATACTTATAATGATAGTTGATTCTAAATTTTCTTTTTAAAAATTAATTTGGTATCAAGTCTTCAAAAGAGGATACCAACTAAATAATAAAAATTGATGTTTTTTATAAGTCAAAATGATTTGTTTACAATAAGAAAAGTAGAAGGACCAATTAAGAAATTTAGAAAACAGAATATTCCAAGAATATTCTGTTAACTTTAACGGAATGCACCTAACATTAAACTTAAGTGGTACCGGGTGCACAAATAATAGAGTTCAGTGGTACCCGACGCCCTATTCAAACATAAACGGTATGCCTGCCCCAATTCTCAAACATAAGTGATACCCAAGGTATTTTACCCGTGATAAAGTATGGTAATTTTCGGTCCAGTATTTTTTTCACCCTGAAATTTGTAGATCCAATAGATCATGATGAACTCGTTTCTTCTTAACAAACGTTTTCAAAAATGACTTAAAAACAAAGAAGTTACCATATGGTATGTAGTTGGTAAAAAAAATTTCTCGAAATATATTGAAAATTGTTATCATTTTGTAGAGCACAACGAACTCGTTTCATGTGTACAAAAAAAAATTGAAATACGAGTTAAAACGAAGAAGATAAGAGCCGATTATGAAAACTAGGGAAACTAAAATGTCTTTAATTGACAACCCTTAGATCTGGATTTTCTGTGCCCACTTAGATCTAAAGGTCCAGATTTAGTTACTCATAGGTCAGTAACCAATGGTTACTGACCCTATCCTAAACCCATAATTAGGGATGAGAATGAGCGGGTTTGTCTAAACCGGCTTAGTATAGGGTTAGTAACCATTGGAAAAACGGATCAGGTTATGCACCCTATCTTGAGCCAACCATTGGTTACTAACCTATGAGTAACTAAATATGTACCTTTAGTTCTAAGTGGGTCCAGAAAATTCAGATGTAAAGGTTGTCAATTAAATGTATTTTATTTTCCCTAGTTTTCTTAATCGAATCTTATCTTCTTCGTTCTAACTCGGTTTTTTTTTTGCACAGATGGAACGTGTTCATTGTGCTCTACAAAATGAGATCAATTTTCTAATATATTTCGAGAAACTGTTTTTCATACCACCCGTTACCAACTACATACCATATGGTAACTTCTTCGTTTTTAAGTTGTTTTCGAAAACGTTTGCTCAGTAGGAACGAGTTCATCATGATCTATTGGATCAACAAATTTCCAGGTGAAAAAAATACTGGACCAAAAACTACCATACTTTACCACTATGGTATGTGGGTGGTAACTTGTAGTGAACAAAGATGAAAGTCGTAAATGACAGTTAGTATACTCCTACTATCATGTATTTAACCTTCTTACCGTATTAGTATGTTCATACCATCATGGTACGCTTTCTTACCATATGGTATTAAATAGTAGCATACCATATGCTAATGACTGGTAAAAAATGACTCAATTTTTTGTACTAAAAATATATCAAAGTGGATATCATTTCAAAAGGGCACATTTAATCTGATTTATTTGTGCAAAATAATATAAATTTTGACTTAAAACGAGAGAGAAATCGTCTGTTAAAGATCAAAGGGGAAAAGATAAATGGCTTTCCAAGAGAGAAAGGGATGCTGATGTCATGCTGATGTGGACGTGTTACTCATGGTTACTTATCATAAGGTTACTGACCTGATCCGCTCCCTGCCTCCCTTCTAAACCATCTTCATTCTCGCTTTTAAATATCCAAATTTTTCCCGTCCTATATCTATCTCGAAAGGTTTTGCAAACTCATCCCTATACCTGTGGATTTCGGATATCCATGGATAATATCCGTCCCGTTCATCTAACATTATAATACCTAAAATTTTACATGTAAATTTTCAATTACAATATTAAACGCACCTACTATATTATGAAGCCAACAAAGAGATAATCATTCTTAATACAGTTCAAAACATATTATCCTAAAAAATATTCATTACTTCATAAGATATGGTATAATGTAATCCAAATCATAATTCTCTGACTTTGATACATCTGCTAAGTAATAACTAACAAACATAATCTTGTTAA